TTTTTTTCATATTTAATATTTTTGCTAATATATATATTTTGGGGAAAATTAATAAATAAGCGAATAAACATAAAATGAAGGCTATTTTATGTATTAGACATGTATACCATTTTTAGTGATTTGCATATTTTGTTAATAGTTAATATTTTTGTCAATATACACACTTTCGACAAAATTAATAAATAAGCGGATAAATATAAAGAAGGAGAGAATATTATAAATATAGAAATAGTGTCGAAATTATAATTATTTCACATAAATAACACTTATTTTATGTTAATACAAAGTAGTATTATTAATTTATATATATTAGACGCATGCTAAACATATATGATTTTCATTGATCTGCATTAATACAAAACACCATAATCGATTTATATATATTGATATATATTGATTAATATGTTTGTGTATATAGCAACGTGCATGTTTTTTGATATTTAATATGTTTGTTAATATACACATTTTAGAGATGCACGTAGGATTTTTAGCGATTTGCATATTTTTTTCATATTTAATATTTTTGCTAATATATACATTTTGGAGAAAATTAATTAAATTTATATACATTAGATACATATTAAGTACATACGATTTTCATTGGTTTGTATTAATACGAAACAGTATAATTGATTTATATATACTGATTGGATACACCTAGAATTTTTATTCATTTGCATATATTAGATGTACGTAGGATTTTTAGGAATTTGTATTTTTTTTTCATATTTAATATTTTTGCTAATATATATATTGTGGGGAAAATTAATAAATAAGCGAATAAGCATAAAAAGAAGGCTATTTTATGTATTAGACGTGCATAGCATTTTTAGTGATTTACGTATTTTTTTAATAGTTAATATTTTTGTCAATACACACACTTTCGACAAAATTAATAAATAAGCGGATAAATATAAAGAAGGAGAGAAAATTATAAATATACAAATAGTCTCAAAATTATAATTATTTGATATAAATAACACTTATTATATGTTAATACAAGGCAGTATTATTAATATATATATATTAGATATAGGTTAAGCACATAATTTTCATTGATCTGCATTAATACAAAACAGCATAATCGATTTATATATATTAATTAGATACATATAGAATTTTTATTCGTTAGTATGTATTAGATATACATAGGATTTTTAGTAACCTGCATAATTTTTTGATATTTAATATTTTTTTTCAATACACACACTTTTGACAAAGTTAATAAATAAGTAAGTTAATAAATAAGCGGATAAATATAAAGATGGATGGAAAATTATAAACATAGAAATAGTGTCGAAATTATAATTATTTCACATAAATAACACTTATTATATGTTAATACAAAGTAGTATTATTAATTTATATATATTAGATGCATGCTAAACATATATGATTTTCATTGATTTGCATTAATACAAAACACCATAATCGATTTATATATGTGGATATATATTCAATGAGTATTAGATCGATTGATTTGTAAGTAAATGTTCTTGGAAAAGATAATACTTGCATTAATCTTTTGGCAATTAATAAGATTATAAAATTTAAAGATAACACAATTTTGGAGAGCCGGTTTTGTCATTGATATCAAGAATTAATAATGTTTCATTGAATAGCATATATGAATAAATACTTATTTGATGATGAAGTAATTTATTTATCGATTAATCAATATCTTAGTAAAAGCCAACAAATAAATAATGTAATACATAAAAGTTATACTGTTGTGTATATATTAGGTGGATATAGAATTTTTATTGATTTGGATAATTTTTTGAAAATTAATATCTTTCTTAGTATATAAAAGAGCAAAAGAAATTATATTTTGAAAAAGGAAAGATTATGTGAGAACCCAGATTTACCCTAATTTTTTCTAGGGTTTTTTCCCTTAAATTTCATGTTTTCTGCATTTTCTGGCCTAGCAATATTTTCTTGGTGGATTTTATGAGCAATTATAGTTTTAAGATGATTTTTCTAGTATTGGTGAATTTTTAGAAAATTAAGAATATATATTGGACGTGGGACCCACGAGTGCGATAAGTTCGGGAAAATTCGGCCAATAAGGTTAAGTTTCGGATACTGTGAAAAATTTATCGGGTGTTAAGAGATAAGTAGTGTGTGTGAAGTGATTGATGTGAGAGATAAAAGAATGATAAGAATGCATTTAATGAGGTGACAAGTGTCATCTTCTCATTGGTTGGACTTTAAGAAACACTATTCACATTTTTGACTTTTGACCAAAATTAGTTAATATCTCCAAAAAATTCACAAAATTCACCATTTTTCTTCTCATTGTGGACGAACCTCTCTCTTGCAAGGAGGAAGAAAGTTCTTCAACATTTCAAGCTTCCAACTTGTCCAATCCACCAAATCAAGTGTTTAACTTAGTTTTTACTCCATACAATCTTTCCTTCTAGTGATAGTAAGTGTATTAGTGAAGTTTGTTTGAAGCTCTAAGGTGGCCAACACCTCTCTACATCTCTTGATACTTGGTAAGTGATGCTTGAACCTCTACTACACCTAATGATGGTTATATTATGCTTAGAAGTGGCTTGAGTGTTGGAATATATGATTTATTTCTTGGTTTGGCTTGATTTGGTGAAGTTTTCCATTTTATGAGGAATTTTCTGGTTTCATATGATTTTGATGTTGTGGACTAGTATGATGGTTGGTAATAAGGGGCTTTGGCTCTAGTAGGTGTGAATTGTTGTGAAATGCAATCAATTTTGGATTTGGAATGAAATGTGAGAAGTTAGGGTTCATGAACCCCTAATCTGTCCGAAATTTTAGGTCATAGATAGAGGCCGAATTGGACTTTACTTAAAACATGAAAGTTGTAGGTATTGATGAGTTTGATATGCCTGCAAAAATTTCAGGGAATTTGGAGTAGTATAGAGAGAGTTATGCCGTTTTTACTGTTGCTGTTTTTGGTGAACAGAATGTCCGAACTGCGATAGTAATTGCCTGTTTTGACTGGATTTGGTTTGGATTTTGAAGTTGGTGTCTTCTGATGAAATGTAGCTGGATATCTTAGCTAGCTTATGCCTTTGGAATTTCGGCATTTGGACATGTATAGCCTGAGTTGTGTTCATTACAGTTTTGTGTGTTTTGCAAACCTGTTTTGGTAATGCTGGTTTAGTATTTGGCGTATTTGACCTAGTTGTGCTAGGATCTGGACTGAGTGGCCTTCTACATTGTTGTAGCCCTGTTTCATAGCTTCGAAACGGTGGGTTTTACACCCCCAACCGATAATTGTAGTGAGAGTTGTGCCATTACCGCATTATGACGTCAAAACCGGTTTTCTTATCAAGGCCTACATTAAAGCCTTTCTTAATTTCTGGTTTGCTATCATGCTTGTATATGGTTGTAAAACCCTATTAGGGTTATGATTGGCATTGCTATATGGCTCGGAATCGAGTCTCATTGAATGTGTTACATGTGTTAGGACGTGACGGTAGCTCACGACGTCTTGGTGACCACGGTGTATGAAACACCACTTTCTTGCTTGGTGAGTATACTACTCACTTACTTGTTATAATGTGGCTTTGTGCTATGTGTAGTGATGCCTTGAAGGCTTACTTGGATATTGAAATTGATTAAGGTGAGGTTGTACTTGACCGCCCTCACCTCTTTTGATATTGTCACTGATTGGCTACCGTTTTACTGCATTACTGAACTTGATATATTGGTTGGTGAATTCCATTTTATGGAAACTGATTTGGTGTTGTTTGGACGATGTCCAACGACCTTACTGTATTACTGAGCTCAACCCCGTTTGGTAGTCAATTGGATCGAGCCGGCGAGGGCTTGGTCGTGAAGATTGAATTGCCACGGGGACTGTACTGGGGAACCTTGTGGTAATGAGACCCTTGGTTCCGGTAAACTCGAGTATTACCAAAAACTACTGAATTGGAGTGCGGGCCCGGTTGGGGTATGTTGGGTGGAAGGAATGGAAGTATAGTGAGGTCTACGGTTTGGTACTCTTAACATTGACGGAGGGTCAATGAGATTGGATCAAGATGGCAAGCGTGGAATTGGGCTCTTGAGAGCCGACCGTATCCTTTTACCGTTTTGCTTTACTGCTTATTTGTGCACTTTAAATAAAAGTTCATCCTTATGTGACTTTGGTTGCTTATGTAGTAGTGTACCACTGGGCTTTAGCTCATTCTGTGTTATTTGTTTTCCTTACAGGAATTGGAAACGGTTATGACAAGTTGAGCTCATGTATATGTATTTTGCTTAGCTCCTTGAGGGTGAAAACCCTAAGTGTTTTGATTCACCAATGTTTGGTGTGTAAATGGCTACTTGTTTATGTATGAACTAAATAGCTATTTTGGTATGCCATTTTGGCTTGACAATGTTGGATTTCAATGTGTATATGTTAAATTGATGTTTGGATGAACTTCGGAACGATTCGGCTTTCAAACGGCAAAAGAAAAATTTTGAACGAAAAGGCACTGGACTGAATCCGGCCAGGAATCCGGCCAGAAACTGGCCGGATTGTCGGCCGGATTGTGAAGGATTTTGAAAAAAATTTCGGATTGCTCTCTGCCTTGTATCCGCCCGGAAATCCGGCCAGATTCTGGCCGGACTCTGACGTGGCCTGCACTATTCATCTTCGGCGCAAATTTTCGTTTTTTTTATTTTGACTCTTTTGACTTGTTTGCATGCTATGGTATGTTCCGGAACGTTATAGATCGACGTAAACTGTGCCGTAGTCCTGGCGAGAGCTGGGCAGGCAGTCCGCTAACTCCTTTGGTTCGCCTTAGGGGAAGGTGGGGCTGTCACAGATTAATACAAAGTTAAAGAAAGAAATTATATATGTTGAAGGAAGTTAATTAATAAAATTCATAAATTAGTATCTGTAATTTTTGTGAATAGTGCCCGACAAAGATTGGAGCAACGAACGATGCACAGGAAACAAAACGATCAGATAACAGTTGGAGCGGCAAATTTTTGTCAATAGTGCCAGATAACAATTGCAGGAACGAAAGATGAACAGCAAACAAAAGCCTCGGATAACAATTGAACCAACAAAGGATGGGCAGCAAACAAAAGGACAAAATTGAACACAAAATTACAAAGAAACCAAGAGAAGGGCAGAATTGGAAGAAGAAAACAAAAGCAGAAATGAGCAAAAAGGCAGCAGCAGCCAAAACGGCTGTAGGGGAGCTGCGAAAGGACCAAAAAGGACAAAATGAGCCGCGAAACCACAGCAAAACCGGCACAATCAACTATTCATCAGGCTTCGCGGCTTTAAGTAGTTTAGATGTCATGTCAGAGATAACTTGAAGGTCCTACTTTATTAACTAGACAGAAACCAATCGTAATCTAACGGAATTTTGAATGTTTTTCAAATGCTGTACAACATCCATATCTCATTCTTGAAGCTCTTCCATTTTCTCCCAGAGAATGCAAACACATCTTCAGCAGGGCTAGCTATCTTGATCTGAATCCTCAGGCAACCAAATATTATCCGTAACCAAGAAACTATATATTATCATATCTCTTATTTTACCTTTATTGTATCCATACTTCCTTAAAAAACCTTCTTTCAGAAAACCAACCTTTTCTAGCACCCTTTGTGACCCTTTATTTTCTTCCTCCACCAATGCTTCAAGCCTTACCAAAAAGGGGAACGCTTTGAACGCGCTAGAAATGGCAATTTTCAATGCTACAGTGACTATTCCTTGTCCCCAGTACTCACTGCTAATTGCATATCCAACATGAGCTCTGTGTCTATCACTGCCTGATTCTGGCTTGATTGAAATGTATCCGATCGAACGGTCATCCAGGCAAATGGACCGGCGCCATGGATGAGGTATTGCAACCTCCTGAATATACTTCAAGGCTTCTTCGATGGTGTAAATTGTGTTCCATCTCAGATACTGTGTTACCTGATCATCACTTGCCCAGGTCAAGAAGTCCTCTGCATCAGAAAGTTTGAAGGGTCTGACTGAGATTCTTGATTTTTCCATCTGAAGATGGAGGTCCAAAGAAACCGTTCTGCCAAATCCTTGTACAGCGGAGTTAATTTGTTAATCTGAAAAGGGCTGTTTTAGTTGAGCGTTCCGTGTTCATTGAACTGGACCATAGTAGTTGCCAAATGAATTAATGATGCATATTCATAGTTGATGCTTCTTTGACTTCAGACTTAAGATGCAAGATTTAGATAAGTGGGTACTTTGAAAAAGCAGTTCTTCAACACGTTGAATTTTCCACTGTAATACTAGTCAAGGGCACATGTTCATTATTGATTTTCATATTGCACTCCTGTTTCACTTGACTTCTAAGCAAAAAACGAGTTCCCTGTTGCCTAATAAGCTCTATAAAGGTTGATTGAAAATCAACTAGTATTTTTTTGACCTTCTAGGAAATTCACCAAGGAGGCTGAGAAAGTTTGACAATGAATTCCAAAGCATCTGACCCGTTGCTTATTTGCTTTTCTTTTTGTGTCATTTTCTTGCCGACCGAGTACTTTAAAACAGTAATTGACTCGACAGTAAATTCCAGGTGGTTTCAAGTCCTCGAAGAGTCATAAATTAGAGAATTGCCCAATTAGTTACCGCAAGGTTGTAACAAATTATTAATTCAGTCATTATCATAAATTCAATGTAGCAATATTTGTAAGTGACAGGTGTCGAATTTGTGCAATAATAAATTCCTACTCAAGACAAGATATAAACGAATTTAATAGTAAGTAGGGTCATCCCCACAGAGATTAAGGGAAAAATCTATTTTTTTCCAAGCAAAATCAATTTTTGGGGGGGGGGGGTGTTTGGAGAATTAAAACTAAAGTAAATAATCAATGTGACTAAAAATAATTAAACTAAAGCAAATTAAATTCAACTCAAGGATAAACAAACTCTAACCAAGGATATAACTCCGAATCTTCAAATCTTGATAGCAATTCATGAAAAATCATCCCTTCTATTACTTTTTGCTCCACATCCCTACAATTATCACCATTAATTAAATATAAATAAAATCCATCCAATAATGAAATATTTGACAAATATCAAGGGGAAAATATACACAAATTTTATATCAATTACGCACCCTATCAATAATTAGCAACAGTTGTGGGCTTGCAGCCTACTAGGAAATCCACAAACGCGGCTATTGAAGTCCTGCTGCAATGTCCTGGAATCTTTCCCTGGTCTACCAATTACTTAACGTCCAAGGACTATGACTGCTGGCTGACTCAATTATGACAGCATGGCCAAATTCCAGGATGCTTCCCAGATACTGGCAGAGTATAAAATGCAGAACGGGTTCAAGATTTCCCAGTCAATCCTACCCAAAAACTATTACTAAGATTTAAAAAAAAAAAGGAAAATTCATTTGTCTTCAATTCTTCCATCATCATCAACCAAATTTATGGAGCAGGTACACCAAAAAATGGAAGAAGATGTTCGGTTAAGTTCAGAAAGTACTACGGAAGTTGAAGATGATTATTCAGACATCAGACTTAGGCTGCCGGACTTAGCAGATGCTGATGATTTCATGGAGTGGCTTACAGATGAAAGAGTGAGCAAATTCTGCTCTTGGGACTGTTACACATCCAAAGAAGCTGCCATGGATTATCTTGCCAACGAAGCTATTCCCCATCCATGGTACAGAGTAATATGCCTGAAAGATAAGCCTATTGGTTCAATTTCTGTGGCTCCATTCCGCGGTGACGAAATATGCAGGGGTGAAATTGGGTATGTATTGGCATCCAAGTATTGGGGCAAAGGAATTGCTACTAAGGCGGTGAAAATGGTGGCTTCCACGATATTTGTCGAGTGGCCGCATCTGGAAAGGCTCGAAGCTCTTGTGGACGTTGAAAATATGGGATCCCAGAAGGTGATGGAAAAGGTTGGATTCAGCAGAGAAGGTGTTCTGAGGAAGTATTGTCTTCTCAAGGGCAAACCGAGGGACATGGTTATGTTTAGTCTTCTGTCTACTGATCCCCAAGTCAATTATTTTATGTATGATTGAATTAGGCATCCAAGTGAATCAGGACGGGAGGCAATTGTTCATAGATAATGTAGTTTGATTATCAGTGTATGAAAAATATGTATAATTTAATGGTGACCTAACTTTCTTTATTTGTTCTTTTGATAATAGTAGTATTCTTATACTTTGAAAGTTCGTTCACGCTTTTGTTCGTGGTTAACGTAACATGAATTGAATCTAGAACTACTTGAAATCAAAATTAGGCTTCATTAACAAAATAATTCAATCAGATTTTGGCATTCTAGGAAGTAAGAAATCCTCCAAGGGGCCTATTAAAAGAAAAGTCTATTATCCCATTTTGCAGTCATAAATATTTGATTGAACGTTGTCTAGGCTTAGAACTTCGACGGAAGCCATCTCGATTTAGTCGACCAACTTGAGGTGGATTTTCTCTTTCTCTTTTAAATATACTAATGTTTCCTTCGACAGATTCTTTGTCCTAAATATGCAGCCAGCGTTTAGGAATCTGTTGTATTTTTATGCATTCCAATTGTTTGTCGAAAAGCATCAAACATTTGTTTCCCTGAGTTTGACACTTCTCTGATGGGAAGTAGGAAGGAAAAAGGAGTTCTTTTATCTCTCTCTCTCTCTCTCTCTGATGTTCCAGGCTGCTTCCCAGATACTGCCAGTACAAAATTGGAGCAAGTTCAGACTTCAGAAGTCAAGCGTACATAAAAAAGCAGTTCATTGGAGAGGAGCTCCATAGTTTTTAACGAATTCAATTAACCACCAAATTATGGAGCAGGTAGAAATGGAGATGGAGGACCTGCAGTTGAGTTCAGAGGCTATGGAAGTGGAAGATGATTGTTCGGATATCAGACTCCGGCTGATTGATTTATCCGATATTGATGATTTAGTGGAGTGGGTTATGGATGAAAAGGTTAGTAAATTCTGCTCCTGGGATTACTTTCCCTCCAAAGAGGCTGCCGTGAACTATGTTGCCAATGTAATTATTCCTCATCCATGGCTCAGGGCCATATGCCTGAAGGATAAGCCGGTTGGTTCCATTTCTGTGACTCCGTTCCAGGGCAATGCACAATGCAGGGGTGAAATTGGGTATGTATTGGCATCCAAGTATTGGGGTAAAGGAATTGCCACTAAAGCAGTAAAATTGGTAGCTTCCACCATCTTTGTTGAGTGGCCACATCTTGAAAGGCTCGAGGCTCTAGTGGATGTTGCAAATGTAGGGTCGCAAAGGGTATTGGAGAAGGTTGGTTTTAGCAAAGAAGGCGTTCTGAGAAAGTACTGCCTTCTCAAGGGGAAACCAAGAGACATGGTTATGTTTAGCCTTCTCTCTACTGATTCCCAAGGTCACCATTTTTTGTAGTACGGATTTTCTAAGATAAGTGAGTGTGCTCGGATACTTGATCGTTTGGGCCCAAAAAAAAAAGATACTTAAATTACTAAAGAAGCAAGCTGCAATAACACGGGATTTTTGCCAAGCCAGAATAATGAATGTGGTTTGTTTGTAGGAGTAATTATCATCTCTTAAAAACCAAATTGATACCTGTCTTGTACAAGTTGCATTCCCGACTTCGAAGTACACTATAATTTGGATTAACACGACAAATCCTAACTTAATTTATCAAAATTAGAGCATGCATTGCCGACTTCTAACCTGATAAGTCCTAATTTAATCTATCAAAATTAGAATTTGAGATCGAACTCGAGTTTTAAACTTCATAATTATTAAATATATTATGATTTGAATTAACATGATAAATTCTAACTTAATCTATTAAAATTAAAATTAGAAATATCTGTTTGGATGGGAGTGTTTTTCAAAAATTAGTTTTTCAAATACAATTCCAATTTTTAAAAGTACTCTAAAAGGAAATCTAAAAATTAGTTTAAATTTTTTTAAAATTTTAAAAATATTTTAAAAAATATTTTAGAAACTCTTCTACTTTTAAATATTTCAAAATATAATATAAAAATTCTTGTATAGCAAAATTTCAAAAAAACCTCCAAAAAAACAGTTAATCCAAACCCGAGTTCGATCTTAAATGTCATAACTCATACTGACTGGTAACTAGTAGATTCAGTTCAAAAGTCGGTTAGACTAGATTCCACAAAGGCCTTAGTTTATTGCATTCGATTCGAGTCCTTGAAACGCTGCCGTCTCGGCAAATCCAAAACCATTTTCCGACAGTGCTGAAACTAAAAAACGCTCCACCAAAAATCACACACTACAGTACACTACTTGGGTTGAAGAAAGATTCAATTCACCGCATGGACCCGCTAACGGCTCTCCGAGACTACACCATCCGAAACCACCTCGACAAAATCAGCCGCGTCGGCGACGATTTCCACTTCGGCAAAGAATACACTTTTCCAGCCACCATCGAAACCGCCTACCGCAGCAAGCACGTGAAGTCCACGCACTACACTTTAGAAACCCTACATCACTTCATCACCAATCAGCACCTCAAACACTCGGAATACGTCCAGAATGCCAGCGCCAATCGCATCCCGCCGGTCACCTTGCCCGACCGCAAAGCCCTCCAGGACTACCTCACGGGAAAGATCTCCTCCTCTGACTCCATTGACTTCACCATGATCGTCATCCCTACCGCCGCCGAAGCCGATGCCGGAGATAAAATTGACCAAACGGCCGACGAGGACGACCTGATTACCAACCCTATTAAATGGATAAAGACGATGGAGCGGCCGTTGAAAGATCGGGAGCAGATTCTGTGCTGTAAAAATCGCGACTTTTACAGTTTTCTGACCGCGGCGACGCGGAGGGATGAGGAGAGGCAGAGGCAGGACGCCTTGCAGAGAAAGGATAATTTGGTGGCCAAGAGTAGGATAGAGAGAGGTGGGGAGGAATTAGGGTTAGGGCTTGACGGAGGTCAGAAGGCCAAGTTGCATTTGAAAGGTAGTAAAATTGGGGAAGGTGTGCCGATTATATTGGTGCCCAGTGCATTTTCGACGCTGATTACTATTTATAATGTGAAGGAGTTTTTGGAGGATGGGGTGTTTATTCCTACTGATGTGAAGGTGAACCAGATGAAGGGGGTGAAACCGGATTGCGTGACGGTGCAGAAGAAGTTTAGTAGGGATAGGGTTGTGACGGCTTATGAGGTGAGGGATAAGCCTTCAACATTGAAGAGTGAGGATTGGGATCGTGTGGTGGCGGTTTTTGTGTTGGGCAAGGAGTGGCAGTTCAAGGATTGGCCTTATAAGGATCATGTCGAGATCTTTAATAAAGGTGAATTGGGTTTTGATTCCTTTGTTGAGTTGAATTTTGAATGTGAGTTATTGAACTGATTGCTGATTTGCAGGAAATTTGTGTAGTTAGTGAAATGTGATTGCTTTCTTGTTGTTCTGGTTCTGATCGTTTGAGATCAACTTAGTACTAATGACATGCAGCCCTATGCTGGCGGTAAAGCGTAGGGTGGACTTGGCCATATTTATGTGCTAGATCAACTTAGTACTAATGACTGTTTGAGTTCAATGTAAATGATGTGACATTGGGGCTTTGGTTATGTTACGTTTCTCGGATGAGCATGGCTAATTATCAGTACCAACTTTTGATTCTGCCAGTTCTGGGTTTTTACTTGCGATTTGAGGATGACAGCGTGGAGTCTGCAAAGCATGTCAAACAGTGGAATGTCAAAATTATCTCGGTGAGCATTTTATTCACCAGCATGTTGCCATTATGTTATGGAAAACTTCTTCTATGCAGTCCAATTAAATGTACAATTCCTGGATGTGCTGCATATTACTTGTATAACTAGTTCATGTAAAGGTGCACTATTCCGCGGTGGAGATTTTAGAGATGATTGATCATCTGACAATGGCATGACAAATTTATGAACCTAAAATTTTGACTTGCAGATAAGCAAGAATAAGCGGCACCAGGACAGAGCTGCTGCCCTGGAGGTGTGGGACAGACTAGAAGAATTTATGCGGTCTCGTTCACGATGAGGCGTCCGATGTTAAATGATTTGTCTTGCTCGTTACTGCCAACATTACTGCATCTCAGTGGCGTCAAGAACTTCTCCCATTCCTTGTTTAGTGGAAACAGAGAATTTTTGTACAATAACATTTAGTAAGAGTTAACATTATTAAGTTCCCTTATGGATGTTTTCGTTCCTGCTTGGTGTTTGAATGAGAGTGAGGAAGAAAGGTTGTGTGTGTTCTACAATTTGGTTCACTCTATAGGCCCAGTCAGCGAACGAAATTTTTTTGCTTTTTCTTTCTTTTAGTAATAACCTTCTTTCTGCAAATTGGGAGTTGGAAGTCCTGTCTATTTTGGTTCGCAGAGTCCTTGTTCGTTTGGATTTAAACAAAGCGAGCAGCTGCACAGATAAAATATCGTGTGCTACTTTGTGATGCCATGGAGCAGATGGCGAAAGTGGATAGAATATGTAACGATTCTACCTTCTGAAGGCTGGACGAAGACATTGACATATGAAATTTAGTCTCAAATCATGTTCGTGTTTTGATATAGTTGTACAGCAGGTTTGGTTTGTTGTCTGAGCCCTGCTTCGTGGTGAATTGGGCAATATGTATGCCAACTTAAGAGTTAAAAGCCAAAAATCATCCTGTTTTATTCATGTATTCGTACAGATACGGAATCTAAATACAAAATCATGGTGACCCATAAAACAGGTCGGAGAAAGAATAACTTATAATGGACTAGAAAACGGAAAAGCGCAAGCGCAGTTAATATCAACCTAATCTCGCCAAACTGGGCCCCTGACCCTAACCCAGAATGGATTTCGGAGATGGCCAGTGGCAGGCTGATGATTGCTGGAGAACTCAGGCCGACAAGGTGAAGGTTGAAGCATATGATGCAACGAACAGAAGGAAGAACAGTAGAGGGGCAGCCAACTTGGTCGAAGTTGCATCAGAGGAGCCGCTGTTTGTTGATGGTACAGAGTTAGATCCACGTCCTGCACAAGGTTAAATTAATATGAAGATTATACAATACCATTCAAAATAATCACTGCAAGAAATAAGAAAGCTGCAATTTGTTTTTCATATCCTATGAATTCTGTTTTATTTTCATCAGATGCAGTCAAAGATGGCCGTGTACCTGCAGGTTCTGAGCTAGGATTGCCAGGGGTCTCAGTAGCAGGAGATTGAGCAGGAGAAGCAGCTGCAGACACGACGAGAAGTTAGTCGGAAGTTAAATACACGTAATCTCTCATGCATCAGGAAGCCGTTGAATGTTCATTCTAATGGGGGTTGGGTCCATGGGAAATTTACCATTGCATTGGCTGGTGGGTGGAGTCTGGACTTTGCAAGCTTTGGGTAGTTCGAGGGCCTGAGTTTGGTTGATGTTGAGCCCGAGGGAGGAGCCACCTCCATTGAGGACCTGACACAAGCACTGCGGCTGTGAACGAACGACGCTGCTCAGCTGCGTGCAACACCCAGAAGAAGGGGTTGAGGAGTTGCCTTGGATGTAGTTGAGGCAAGGAGACATGCTGATTATCACATTGGTACAGTCAGTTGATTGGGCGGTGGCGCTTGTCCAGATCATGCCAAACAGAAACAGGGCCAAGGCCAGGGCCATTCCAGCTCTTTGATACGCCATTGGATATTGAAAGGGTGTTCAGTGATGAGCGGATGCTAGAAAAAGCAGAGGAATGAGAAGTGATCTTTTAATCGGTGAAAGAATGATCTGATGAAGGAAGGGATCAACGTACGGGGTTTATAAAGGTGGCTGGGACTTGGGATCCGAACCAAGAGTCAAATTAAGGAAAGAGGCGGTTTGTGTTGTTAACCAACTTCTCCTACTCTCCGATTGCAGTTCTGTCCGAATTCATTTGTTTAGTCATCTACCCTTGGATTCAGATTGGGACACGTACTCCATAGTGTTTGTTGTGTGTAAGATTAGAACAATTGGTTAGTTATGCTGGTCACCAAAGCATGCCGTAAACTACTCTTTTTATTGTAGTTAGTAGTAACCTAAACCTCAAGCAGTTAAAGCTTCGAAGCCTACGACTTTCTTTTTTCATAAACGAGCCAAAGGTTTTGTAGGTAAACTTTGAATTAACAAACATGCATTCACTTTTTGATTAAGAAGCTTTAAATGGCATGCAAATTGAACAGTGAATTTCCCAAGCACGAAAAACTGTTGGTTCGGTATAATGATCTTTTTTGTTGGATATAGTAGTGATTTGTGTAAAGAGATAAAACTAGTTTGCATGTTTTTGCTTATGTCCTAAGTTTTAATCGTTTAGATGGAGAGAGCTAAATGGACAGATCCAAAAGTCCCTAAAGAGGCATCTCCGATCTCACCTTTTTGTTGGGTTTTGCATTCCAAACACGCATACAGCTTTGTACTGGAAAAGGATGGCTTATCAGACAAAAATCATAGACAAAGCTCTTCAATTACGGCTGCCAAGTCTGGCATATCATGCAACGTGTATAAAGTATATCAATTTACCATTTTTACTTTTGGTCCTTTTCCTTCTACTTTTCTTGATTTTTACATGTTTTGTCACTGAGAAGCCAATTATCCATGATCTCAATTCCTTGCAGCACTGAAAGAGCATCCAACCATGGTCTATCATGGGTTCTATCCGGTTTTTTCTCTTTTGATGGGTTAATAGCTAGAATGGGAAGTAAAGTCCTAACATTTGAGGGTAGATCTTATAACTCTCTTTTCTTTCTTTTTTGTTTTTTTAACAGTTTTATTCAACAGATAGTTGACCAACGTCGAGGAAATTTTGGAGAGCAGATCCTCTGTCCAATTTTTTGTGTCCAATTTCCTGTCCAATGTGAAACTACGTAGTTTCACTTATTACATCTGCTGGTGTGACAACTAAAAATAGGTGGCTGTTTGGCTGCCTTATACTTCTTTTTCTTTCTAACGGCCCTGTCAAATAATTTCCATTCACCGTGAATTCCTCCAAAGCAAAACCACTACATATTTCTTGTTGCCAACGTCACCACTACATGAAAGCGAAGTTTGTTCGACTAACATCAATCTTTAGTGTATGATGGGGGATGAACGTTGAGTGCATCTAAAAATTCTCACCGTGAGTGTTTCAATGTCCTAATGCATTCCATTTCTTCCTTGTTAAAAATTGCTTTGTTGAAGAACTTCCTTCGTCTTCTAGGCGGAAAATGGTGGCAACAGGTTTTGGGAATTATAACAGTAGCAATAGGATTTTGGGAATTGTAACAAAGTTGTGTAAACAAAGGAAACTCAAAAAAGAAGAAAGAAAAAGAAGTATAAGGCAGCCAAACAGCCACCTATTTTTAGTTGCCACACCAGCAGATGTAATAAGTGAAACTACGTAGTTTCACATTGGACAGGAAATTGGACACAAAAAATTGGACAGAGGATCTGCTCTCGAAATTTTGGTCTAGTGTTGAGACTCCAAAACATAGATGTTATGGGTTTTAATCTCTCTGTCTCATTCCCGGCTTTCCGCTTCTTAAATTTTACCCCTCATTTTCTAGAAAAAATAGTTGTATATAACGAACGCCCTCATTCATTGTCTGTCAGATCTTTGGCGTATGGTAGATCAAATCTAAATGCAATTTCCGCTCCTTTTGCCTTTGGGTAATTGAATGGGTAATAGGACTTTGATTTCCCAAACGATCGATAAGATCAGAATGTGAGTTTCTGAATTATGCATATTTGACAAACCTTAGGTGAGTGTTCATTAGAAACTTTTATAAGGTTACTTCTTATACCTTAGTCTTTATTTTTCGCTTCTTGTTTGCCCAAAACAAATTGCCTATTTCTAAGTTCTAACCAGGATTTGTTTATCAAAACGCAAATTTAAACTTGAAACCTTCAAGAAAAAATTTCTGTTCATCCAATTTTATTTTCACATGAATTATCAGATTCTAAAATTTTAGGGGTTGCTAATATATTTGGGTGCCAGGATCACATTAATCAGTTTAAACCTATTTTAAGCCAAAAAGATAATAAAGAAATATTTATCAGAATGAAATGGAATCATTTCTGTCACAATCCTTCTACTATCTTATCACGATAGAGTCCCTTCTAATTGCTTTCTCATAAATCTTCATTGTAGTTTTTTTCGTCTTCCTTTTGCACTAATCTATTAACATAGCTTGGAAATTTCGAGATCCACAACGAATCAAGAGATTAAATATCGTAAATTAAACAACATCTTCACACTCGCTCAATAGTCCATGAACCACAATGCCAACGAATGTATCAACTCCCCGAACGGATAAATAGTCCCGGGGGAAAAAAATCAAATAGACAAGGACTTAAAGTATGAGTAAATTATCAATGTTATAATTGATTTTTTTCGTTGATCTTTATAATTGATTGACGGTATGGTTAAAATTGAGATTTCAAAAATTAGAACTTCTGGATTCAAATTTCTCTACTCCTACTCCGCCTTATAGGTAGGTTCAAATTTCTTTACTCATTTTCTGACTTTTTAAGTTCTATTCCTCTTCTGGTAGAAAAAAAAAATTAAAGAAAAAAGATTGACTATAATGTGCAACACATTTCATGTAAAATATGTCCATCTAAAATATGATTTTTTTTCTTTTTGTCGTAGCGAGGATCGATAGCTAGCCCTCAGAGAGAGAGAGATATATATATATATGTAATGTAAATATGTAATGTAATCCATGCAAGGTGGGCTTAAAGACGGATTAATACAGCACTGTTGTTTAAATATAGTGTAGTAATTAGTTTCAACCCAACACAAAATTATAGTGGAAATGGTAAACAGAACAAACAGGCACTCTATCTATCGATGTTACACAATTACACGCAATAACCATCTCGAGTATAAACTACAAAATGGCTGGATTTATTTAGCTAGGCATCTTATATAAGTATCACTCCCCATCTTTAATTTTACTTGTAATCAGACTTCATTAGAAGCAGCTAAATTTGGAAACATATGATGAAACCAAGAGCAGGAGGAAGCCAACGAGTTGAAGGTGCATCTGTGCAACGCTTCCACTGGAAGAACTGCCTGGTGTTGCTTTAGATCCTGCAAAATTATAGTTGCATATATGCAGACATATATGAGTCTAGCCATATATAACATGAGAATTTGTTAATTAGTTATAGTATTATCCATGATTAAAAGGAAAACTCCTTTTTTTTTTTTTTTTATCTTGGAAAGAATTAACAGCTTTTATTAAGATAGAGGACAGAAATTTACACAGGAAATCCAATCAAGTACATCCTAGCATTTACAGAAGTAGGTTTTTAAAAATGTTTCGTTTCTTGGTTGTATGTAGTATATAATCATATATAAATGACGAATATTTTTCTTTAGATATTATAAAATGCATTAGGACGTGGAGGAAATGTTTTGAAGTTTATACAAACTTTAGCAGCATAACTAGTTTCCGTCACAGGCCCATAATGAACAAATACAAGAGACAAGTTAACAAAACTGACAAAGGAGATTTGTATTTCAACACAAAAGTTTTAAATCCGTAAAAACCCGTTGCATAGTTATGTAGATTTTGAGGTATTTCTATGTAGAAGAGTAGAATACAAATTGTTTCATGAGTACTTAAATTGTCTTGATCCTTTTACCACAAAAAAATAAAAAAAAAATCCGTAAAATTCGTGCTGCTATAATCTTAAGAGTTTACCTGTGACAGACGGGTCGGTTGTGGAATCTGGTGTTCCATCGGCAGATCCAGCTGGTCCTGGTGAAGTCTCTGGAGAACCCACGGGAGACATGGCCGGTCCATTAGCAGCTATACCATGCATTTAACAGTTACACACATGCATGAAGAATTCAAAAACGCAGACCAATTCCACATGCAACATCAACCTTGAACAACAACCCCAGCTAGTAAACTTACCATTGCATCTGCTTACAGGGGGAGTTTGCACTTTGCAGGCATCAGGAAGTGAAAGAGCAAGTGTGGAATTAATGGTAAATCCAAATCGAGAGCCACCACCGATCACGGCGCAAAGGCATCGAGGATTGGTTTGAACACCGTTAGCAAGTGCAGAGCAGCATGAAGGCGGTGGTGTTGGGGATTGTCCGGTGACATAGTTAAGGCATGAAGACATGGTGATAATCACATTGTTGCAATTGGATTGAGCCACGGCTCCTCCTGCTGAAAATATGGTCACCGTGGCTAAGACTAGGCTAATTGCTACAATCCCTTTTGGTGCCATTTGATGTTGTATAAAGTTATTAATCGAATATGTAGTACAATGGATGTGATCAAGGACTTGAATTTCTGGTTCAAAACTATGTGTTTTCTGTGGTCAAGTTCTGTGAAGATGAAGAGCTTTTTATATACATGCATGGATGGTTGATTGCTTCAGGGCTAGCTTTGTGCCCTTTTTTTTTTTTTTTTTTTTTTTTTTTTTTTTGTCTTTTCTTCACCGTCAATTTTGGCTGGGAACAGTAATTTGGTAAACAAGAAGGCTGCATATGATGTAAGATCTAAGATTGTTAAATCAAACCAGCTACAGTACGTGTCATTGTTGACACAATATTGAGTCTAAGCCGACAGATGAATCCTGTAAACTATAGGAGAGCGTCCTAATTCAATTGGAGTAAACATTAGCAAGATATAGGTTTGTCGTAGTTGCACAGATTTCTACTCTAGTTCCTTAGAATCACACTTGTAAAAATCGAACATCTACATGCCAATGTAGACAATAACATGTTTACTCATAATGTAACTTTAATTTATTTTTTCCAATTCTATTTGGCTCATCCTTCAATTTTTCTTGTTGACCACATATCCATACATATCTATATATATATATATGCTGCCCTTTTTGGGGCTCCTGATTATACTTAATTATGTGTATTTCCGGGCTGATCATAAACGAAACAGTAGTCTCTTGAAGATATTCATATTCCCCAACCTTCTAAGGCCATATTAAAAGATAAGGCCAGAACAACAGAAAAACTGAAATTTTGATAAATTGCAGGGAGTAAAGTGTAATAGTATTTTTCTCATTTACTTGCACCTACCATTACCAGGTCTAGAAAATCTCTGGTGAAATTTTGACTCTTAAGGGGTAATATCCCTATATTGATAACCAAACGAGAAAAGAAGTAGTACTTCTGTCATCCTATGACTTCGATAATTCATATGGAAGTTCTTTTTTCAACGGGGAAAATTTAGAATAAGGGATGATGACGTGAAGGTAGGAGCATCAATCCAGAAGCTAATTAGCTTACTTAAAAGTAGTATTACCCGTTTACCTTAGAAGGGTATACGTGTGTCATGTCCTACAAACATCAATCAAAGCCTCTCTGACGTCTAAATTATCTTACCAAATATAAAGAAATGTAGGACTTATTATGCAAAGGAGAAGATGACCAATAATAAAGCCAGCAAAATTGACCGGTAAACTACTCCTCGACCCAACTTTGGGTAGGAGTAGCATCAATACCTTCAACTTCTTGCGGCTATGCTCCGACCAGCTTTTAAACGAAATACTAATAAAAGAGGAAAAGAACCAAGTGGACAAAAACAAAAGAAGCAGTCAATGCATGCAAAATGCGGCGGGCATGGCTAATTACATCTACAGGATGGTAAACGTTTGATTTTCTCCGGTCCTTTATTTTTTTCCTGCTTATTCATGTTCTGCCACTCACTCGGCTCCCTTCCTCAGTTTATTTATTTTTATTTGGTCAGTGGGTAGTAATAGTCCCCTTGGCTCTTCAATGGGCAATCAACAAAGAAAAGATTAAAAAAAAAACTTTATACTTTAGGGCGGAGTCACGGCCTAGATTTAGACCTCATTTGATAATTCAATTTAGCATTTAAAATTAATTGATTCAAATTTTAACTGTTTAGACGCGTTTGATAATAAAAAAATTGAACATTTGAATTCATTAAGTGACACTGAATTTCACGAGCAAAACTTGCTATAAAAAATAAATGATAAGTGAATAACTTATTATTTAATGTGATATACACTCAAATATATTAGATTTAGTACTTAATAATTCAATAACTTAATCGATTCAGATTTCAGATTTTAGTTTTTAGACTTCAGTTTTATTAAACACACCCTTAGTGGAAACAAGATTGTACACATAAATGAAATAATTTTTTTATTTTTGTTCTACTTCATATAAATTTTCTCATTCAATTAGTAATTAAATGTGTCTCAATTAATAGCTTTGAAACAATTGGACCATAAAAGAGATACTTAAAACAAAGAAATTGGTTGTTTAGAGATGACTATTTTCTAAATTACAAGGTGGCAATGTCAAGAGATAAGGGTTATACATATTTTTTATATATAAATTGGAAAGGGGGAGGTGGGGGGTGGGGGGTGGGGGTACAATTGTGAAGATACCTAAAAATTTTCAAGCTTATTTTGTGATTTTTATAAAGTTGAGAAGGGCAGGGCAATTGGCCACCCTCACACATCAAGGTGACTTTGCCCCTGTTCACAAGTTGATGAGCGCCAATTGCAAGTGTTGTATGTGTTCGGATGAACTTGAGCCTGAAGGTTCTCTAATAATTATCTAGAGAACGTCCAAGATTGTCTTGTGTTTCCTTATACTATACAAGAACGAGTTTAGGACTAAATTTCAACCGCAGGGGTGAGGTTATTTTGGGAATGTGAGAGTGTTTGAAGAGTAATTGGAACATTGAGTACAAGTCATTATAACTTTAATTTCACTATAATTACTTATATAACCCTTCGGACATTTAAGGTTAGGGGCAGGTTTGGTATGTTACAATGTTTGGTGCCAAATTGAGTATCAAGTACAACTAAATAAAGCTTGTATTTTGATAGAATTACATAAAAGTCCTTTTAATCATTTATTATACTAACATCCAAGCCTTCCAATTTCCTGAAACCTTTCTCATCCGTTAAGAAATTAATTGGATGTTTACATAATTGGATTTTAATTACAATTAATTAACTTAATTATTATCTAAACAATCATTATCATATTTATGTCCCCATGTTTAGCCGATACCCTTTTTTCTTTTTCGGTTTCACCTCTTTGGTTTTATTATGGCTATTAAATATTTGGTGGAATGCATAGTTTTTCCTTTAAATTGAGGTGAGTTCTTTGGGTTTGTCTTCTTCAATTGTAGTTTTTTTTTTTTTCTGATGATTGGTTTATTCAAGAACTCCATATAGTTTGCCTTTTGATACTTCTAATTCCAAAAACTGACTAATTGTATTGTTTCCTTAGTAGATCTCAGAGATTCTGTCTCTGGTCAAAGTACAATTTGAGATAATGTTGTCACTTTTTAAAATAATCAGAAAAGCAATTTTATCATTTTCTCCTCCTCGGCCAAGGTATTATCTCTTTATTTAAGTCAAAAAACCTTATTTCTCATGAACTTTCTCCTATTGTTCTTGACTCCATGGATCTGTTGACTACATTCCAGCAGTTATGGTTCAAGTAGTTATTTTTTCATGTAATATGATTTGGAATTCAACTTGTGTTTATTTTAATTGAAAATTTTATTATTGTAAAATTTATTAACTTAGAATTTTGTACTTCATTGAAACTAAAAAAGAAAATTAATCATGCTACATAGTACTAAGATGTCATTTGCACTCCATTTGCTTTTCATGTTATGATCTCGTTCTTGTATTATACTATTTATATAGTTTCAAATACAAAAAATTTGCTTTTTTATGCTATCTAAAAGAATTTGTAGTGAATCTTGATGAGTTTAAATGCTTTAGCTACAGCACCATTTTGATTGCATTGTATTAATTCATTTACTCATAATTGTATGTTGTATAATGATAAATAATGTTTCTTGATTTGATTAAAGCAACTATTATCCATAGTTCAAACGAGTCAATTAAGTAGAGATGTTATATTGGATACTTATACAAGTAAATATTGAAAAATATCATTAAGCAGTTTCTACCTATAGTTTGTAATTCGAATTCATATGAGGAATTTCTTCTGATTTTAGTTACCATTTTCTACAATTTCAAATTTAGAAAATATTATTTGCACCAATTTTTTATAATCAAGATAGTTTCAATTCAGATCTTTAACAATTATGCAGATTTGAACTTATTTATGAGATTATAAAGAAATGCCCTTAGCAAAAAACACCAAATTTGAATAGTTTCTACAAAATTTTGAAAAAGACCACTTAAGTTTCTTATCTATCTATCATTTATGGGCATTATTATCTTTGTAAGAAATATCTGATTAAGTCGTATTATGCCCACCAAATTATATAAATAGTTAGTCAAAAATAAAATTATTTTAGATTAGATTGGATGCAAAGTGATTGATGGATAAACTTGACTTGATAATTCAGGTTGAGCTTAAGTCGAGGGAGAAATCAGAAGCATTGCTTGAGAGATCTTTCACGAACATATATAGATTCGAGAGATGAAGGGTCCAATTGATACTTTAAAATGTTTTATCATCTTGGATAAGTTTTAGAAGAGACTTTGGATACTTTTCAATTGCACTTCAAACATTTTTACATTTTCAAACTATCCTTATCTTTGCAGTTGAAATTCAAACATAACCTTTGATCACAATGGATTGTTATATAGTATAACGATAAGGATGTCTCATTGCACATTATTTTTATTGACTCACTATGTAACTTATGATTTTTCTATTAAAATCACATGATAAAATCATCATACTTCAGTTCTTATACTACAAAATATTAAACAATAATTATTAATTATCTTGAATCACAAGCACCAAATTCCCGCGCGTCGCACGGGCTGTCCCTCCCTAGTTATACTATAAGGGTTTAGCTCACGGGTGCATCACACTGGTTAGGAGGAAATTCAAATATTAATTTGTTTTATAAGAATGTATTAATTTGAGTTAGCATTTAAATATACAGATGAAAGAAATATAAATAAATGTGTGATCTATATAATAAGTCGGCTTTTTTTTTTCTGAGAAAAAAAAAGGGAAGTACAAGAAAAGAAGGAAATGAAGGATGTTTAATTAAGCCACTAAGACTTGATTACATCTCAAACATTTGAACAGTTTTGGCACGCAAAGCATCTCTCTCTAGATTCTACTTTCTACCACCAAGAATGAAAAAGAAGCGGGATAGGCGACGGACCTATCTGACTGAAAAAATGATTGCCAACTCTTTACGATATCCTAATATTGCTGCATGATATCCATCAATGGGGGCTTAGGCCAAAATTCATCAATGCGCTGGCAATCAGAACCCAGAACAGGACATGAAAATGTTATCTGACGCGTCATAAACAGGTTTAAAGGTACGAGGAACATGCAACAGACAAGCAAGCAAATTCCACCTAATCTAGTCTTCTTCTCACAGGATTAGTTAAGGTAGTTGAGCTCCAAAACCACTCAAAACCCACTTTTTTTTTTTATTCAAAACATTCATCCTCACCTATAAATTCCCCTCTTTGATGGATCTCTTTCTCAAGTTTTAACAGCAAGTTTCTCAGCCAAAATCAGCAATTCTAATCATTCTTCCAACAGTGCAATTAATAGGACACAATAAGATACTAGTGCAACTAATCATGGCTCTCCAGCAGTTATTTCCAGCTTTATCCATTGCCTTGGTGCTTCTATCTTTGCCTGTTTATGGCCAGATCAATTCACCTTGTACAACTTCGATGCTCACCAGCTTCACTCCTTGCCTGAATTTCATTACCAATAGCAGCACCAATGGGAATTCGCCTACTGCAGATTGCTGCAATGTAATTAAGGCATTCATGGCCAACAGCACAGGCTGTCTCTGCCTTGTTGCAACTGGAGGCGTTCCCTTCAACCTTCCCATCAATCGAACTCTCGTCCTCTCCCTCCCCCGCACCTGTAACCAGCCTGGTGTACCCCTTCAGTGCAAAGGTAACACAACCTCACGTCTAATTCCATGCCAGTACCATTTTTTCAATTGAATTTGCACGATTTACTAATGAATATGTTCACAATATTTATTTTCAGCCTCTGTAGCACCTATTCCTGCTCCAGGTAACCTACAGTTCTTGAATTTATGTTAATGTTTTCCCCCCCTTTTTTTTTAAAATTCTTTTCCCCATTCTTTGGGGTTACTGAGATGTTTTTCGATTAACAGGACCTCTAGCTGGTGGACCTGCAGTGTCACCTGCAGCTAATCCTCCTACAGGTACCATGTCACCTGCAGCTGCTCCTCCTACAGGTACTAAGTGCTGCTAATTTGTAGTATAATCTGTAATTACATTCCAACTATTAGGAGTAGAAAATTCAAAATACAAAATGCCTTGCTTAAATTGTTTTTTTTCCCCACAAATGCCCTGCTGAAATATGTTTAATTTCTTGATTTTCAGGCTCTGTGGTTCCCCAGGCTGGCTCTCCAACATTGGCACCAGAGGCTGAAACAAATCCGGCTTTGACTCCACCATCTTCAACTACAAATTCAGGATCTCCAGCAGGGAATTCAGGCAACCGACAGTCTGTGACCCCATCAGCTGCCTCAACACTGAGTTTTTCACCATTGCTTCTGCTAGCTGTGATCGGAGCAATTGCCCTGAGGAATTATTGATCTGATGCTAGCACATTTTATCTCAGCCACGTTATGTATCAGTTTTTTTATCTAGAGGATTGTTTGATACCTAGTATTTTGATTTGTCAAGTCGATTGAGCACTTGTTATTCTTTGTATTATAGATTATTGCCTTAGATTTGTATAATTATTATAGTTGTGGAGTTGAAGGTTCGCTATTCATTGTGAGAAAATATCAGATCCTTCTGTCCATCTTTTTTGCCAGCGGATGTACGAGCTCAAAGTTCCTTTTTCTTTTTTCTATTGCCTTCTTTTTTTCCTCTCCTTTGGAAAGTTCACAAATATAAGAAAGAAATGATCCTTGTCATTGCTTATGCATTAGCCACAATGCCATAATGGTTCAAAGACAGCTATATCAGTCCTAGCCTCAAATTTGATGCGTCCCTAATTATACATCCAAAAGCGCCATTGCAGTTTTGGTCCATCTTTTCCAAGTCAAACACCTCAAAATCAGAACCACCAAATATATGAGTTGAATATAACTACAGATATCTCTGTTTCCTTTCCCCAAAACCAAAGGAGTTTTTGTTTGAACACAGTTAACTTAGGAAAATAAAGGAAAGAGCTTACTTCTTGCATCACCATTGACTGAAAAAAACTGTAAATTAAGAAGATGGCTCTTTAAAACTGTAAAAGTCTTCGAGACTTCATGAGGCCTAACATCTGAAGGCGTGGTGTGAGTTGTTGACGCTTTCATCAGCCCAGCATGCTAAGGCGTGGGTTTAATTCCATCCTTTAACAACAGGAATTCACATGCCTCCGCCGGTTGCGAGGTCAAAGGCGCAATACTTGAACAAAAAGAATCACCGCCTTCGCAAATAAACGTTACATATATTCGACATTTTCTACAAAGCCAGAAGCACAAGCACTCCGAAAACCCAGGCTTACAATCCAAATAGCCATGATGGCCACCCTTAGCCCTCTTGTTAATTCTTTCTTGTAAGGTGTATTTAAATTCTTTGAATTTTCAATCCATTGGCAAACACAATTAGTAAACATCATATGGACTTTCTATTTCAATTTGTTTTTCGTAGGCATGTTAATCGGACCATATGAGTCGGGCTATCATAAGTTCATGGATAGCTCATTTAATTTGTAATACTTTCAGATTTCGAGCCATGAAATTCGGGTTAATAAATGTGAAAATCATACTCAACTCACAAAATATTAGGATTTTGAGCCTTATTCGAGTTTAACCCAAACTCATTTATTACTCATCAATTTTCTTAATATAATTACTATAACTATTAAGTTGTAAAATTAATTTAACATTCACAAGATTACAACATTAAAATTAAACATAAACAAGTGATAGTTCTAAAAAATTACATAAATAAAAAATTTTCAACAATATTTATATCTAATTTGTTCAAAATACATGAAAAATAGTAATGAAACATGTGATCATAAGCCAATACATCTTCAAAGGTTGGAACTTCTTCATAACTTTGTAACTTAAATCCAAATATACTTGATGATTTGTGTTTCTATACCAAAAAGAAATCAACCAATATTAAGCCAACATAAAAATTTACTCAACCAATAAGAAAAGTTAGAGTTTTAGTTATGTATTACCAATATTGGCTCTCAAGAAAACTAATAGAGGAATCTTCAGATGCATTTTTGTGTTTTGTAATTTGTATATATTTAGTATTTAGTAATAATATATTTGAATATACAATTATATATAATATCAAAATATAAATATTATATATATATCATTATATATATAGATAATTAAAAGGTCAGACCTATATCGGATTTGAGCCTAATGAGACCCAAGTTTAGCTTATATTTAATTCGGATCTATTTTTAGGGCCAAACTCAGACCAGTTCACTAAAAAGTTGGACTCATCAGACTTTTTTCCGAGCCAAACGAGCCGAGCTCAGGTTGGCCCCGCCCCATTGATAGTACTAATTTTTTTTTAATTATAATTCTCTATATGAACTTAAATTCTAATTTCTTGGATTGTATTCTCATAGGACTAACTTGTATGAACATAAATTGTAGGTTTTGTATTTAAGGATTAAGCTCTCCAGGGAAAAAGAAATGCTCTAGTTGTTGAAATTTCTACAAAACAACTTCTGGAATATTTTGTTATCATGGAGAACTAAAGAATAAATGTTCATAAGTATATTTGAAGAATAATTAAACTAAGAATGCAGGGTAGTTTAAATTCATTCTCTGAATTGCCACGTATTCTATTATGGTATATTGTACAATTATAATACTAATAACTTGGGTAAACTTTGACTTAATTTAGTGGCCATGATTTGAGGACTAATGCTGTGTGGACTACCCTTTCCTACCAAAATCTAGTTGAACTAAAAAAACATTTGGCCTCCTATTATTTTTCCACCAATGGAATGAGAAGGCAAAACGAGGCACCTATAGCAGGGAAGGCAAGTTTCTATCAAGTTTTTTAGGATCCGTTTGATAAAACTAAAGTTTGAAAACTAAAAATTAAAATCTGAAATCTAAATTCATTAGATTATTAAACAGTAAAATATTAAATTTGATATATTTGAGTGTATATCACATTAAGTGATAAGTTATTCACTTATCACTTATTTTTGGGACCAAATTTTGTCTAAAAAATTCAATGTCACTTAATTAATTGAGATGTTCTATTTTTTGTTATCAAATGCAACTGAATATATTAAGTTTAAGTGCTATATTGAGTTAACAAATAGGACGTTAACTAATTTCCAAACGAGGAGGAGTTTGCCTTTTGTGTTTTTCTAAATTATTTTCTTGGGAAGTTTGGAAAAGGGACAACTAGGTTTAAACTTAGCAAGGTCACCTAAACCCCAATTTTTTTACCAAGTTAGTTAAGGTAGTTGAGTCTGGAACCGACCTCAACTCTACGTGTTCTTGCCTCCTTTTCTCATGAACTCCACTCAAATTTTCAATCAATGTATAAATTCCATCACCATTCACCCCATAGCCAACAGCGAATTGTTAGCCAATACCAATAACTGCATATATCCTACTTAGCTAGCTCTAGTGCTCCGACCGTCTTGTAGTAATAAAGAACACAAATGGAGAGATTAAAAACTTCTCCACACTTGAATGCAGCTATAGCTATTGCTTTTTTGCTTCTATTTATTCCAGTGCACGGCCAAACCAATACGTCATGCACGGGTTTGATGCTTCGTAGCTTCGCCCCTTGTACGAACTTCATTACTGGTGGATCTGGAGGTTCACCAACTGCAGATTGTTGTCAGTCACTCAAGTCCCTCATGAGTAGTGGCAGAGATTGTCTCTGCCTTATGTTCACTGGGGGAGTTCCTCTTCATGTACCAATTAATCAAACTCTCGCAGCTTCTCTTCCGCGTGCTTGTAATTCAGATGGTGTGCCCATTGAATGCAAAGGTAAGGTTCAGGAAACTGGAAGTTCAAATGGTTCCAAGAAGATGAATTTTTCTCTGTATTTCTCATCTTGCTTTTTCTCCTCTGATAGAAATATTTTTTGTTTGATTTGCAGGCTTGCCTGGTGCACCTATTCCAGCTCCAGGTCCCATACATAAAGGCTTTTCTGATATTTTGGTTCTATTATAACAAACTTAATGGAGTATCCTGATTTTGCATGACATATACGTTGGACTTAGGGTTAAATTTGACATCTTTATCGTGATTGTCATAGCTATATTGACGTACTCGGTGCACTCAAACTTAATTTCTCTCTGGTCAAGAATTAAGAAACCATTCAATACCTTTCCTGCAACGGAAAGAAATATCAGTTCATTCTTTACTTATTTGCAGGTCCAACAGAGGATCAACCACTGTCACCTTCCTGGCTGCCAGAACCTAATACACCGACTCTTACTCCACCAGGAGCGGGAGGTGATGGAACAATTACTCCTCCCGGAGATACACCAGGAGCGGGAGGTGATGGAACACTAACGCCTCCAGGATCGACACCTGAGGGTGGTGGATATCCAGCTATGACACCGCCAGGAGTCCGACCTGATTTGTCAACAGCCCAGCCTTCTCAAAGAGTTCCACACCTTCTTCTGCTAGCATTAGTTGGAGCTATTGCTTTCGGATGTTCCTGATTGACTTCTGATTGCATTTGCCAGTTGATGCTCCTTAAAATTTTTCGTAGTTGGGGATTCCAATTTGATGTTCATCTAAGTATCTACTCCCCAGATGATAAATTCCACTCTTGAGGGGTAACCTCAATTTTGTAAACAGACATTTTTTGAATCATTCCAGATTCCTGAGATCAAAATATATATTTGTATCAGAAGGCTTTGATGTCCATTTTGTTCTTTTGTAATATCACGCCGGAGTTATTGGATCATGTCCTTGTATTCTTGTTTCTGTTTAATAAAATTGTACAATTTGCCGCAAATTCCCTCTCCACTTTATAGAACAACCGAAGAAAATGCTAATGGAAGTCGTTCGAGAAAAAGATTTTATCTGTTATTGCAATTATCGAATATGCTCAATCACAAATTAAATCAATGCTGAAAGTTCGCCTAGACAAATCAACCGCTTAAGTTTCTGAACTCAATTTTACTCGGGTTTGATCTTAGCCAAGCAAAAACTATTTCCCATAAAAATCAAATTTGGTGATTTGGCATCGTAGATTCAATCTCACCGTATTCGTGCTGTCTTGCAACTGTTGAAAGCACACAAGGCGTGAGTCTGATGTACTGAGTAGGTCAGATGCATGCACACAGCACCTTGCACACAGAATGGATGCCACACCTCACGAGCAGCTTTGGAGATGCTTATATACTTTCCAAGAGATGGAATCCAAATTGAACTGTCTAATTGAATGGATACCTTAAGGTTCATATGGGGTTTAACAATTCTGATTTGTATTTCATGCCAATTTGCAAATGCCCAAATTCAGGGATGCTCTCTCCTTGGCGTAGACTTTGAGAAATGCATGGAGCAAGATGGAAGTACAGCCTCAATGGAGCCTTGCTGCAAAACCCTGAACCATGCTGTTCAAGCTGGTTATTATTGCTTGTGCTTGCTGTTTAGATCTTCTCCTTTACTAAGCATCAGTCTATCAGTTCAATTGTCTAGCTGCTACATATCAGTCCCATCGTTGACTCAATGTCAAAGTAAATTCTCAACCTGCGATTTTGCTTGCACAAATTCAGCTTTGATAATAGGTTAAAGCAGCACGATGCTTGACTTCCTATATTTGATATGCTTCTGTAGTTATCATCTTTTCTTGATTATATATGTGCAGAGTCATTGCCTGTATTTCCCACACCAAATACTCCAGAGCCTGCATTGAATTTTCCACCGGCTAGACCAGTGCCGGTGCAATTGCCACCGGAAAGGCCAGAGGACCTAATGCAACCTTCTGTTCCAGATGATACCACGGTGCCGTTACCTCCAAAAAGGGATGAAATTCGACGAAATCCAACTTCTACAGGCAACAATTCATCAGTGGCCGAAGGCCGACCAATTCTTAGCAGCGATGTTCATCCCATATTGTTGATCCCTGAGCCAAGATACTTGAAATCTCATGGTGGAGACAAATTCAATATTTTGCCACGACCAAGATTCTTGCTACCTGTTGCTTTGTTTGTCATCCTGTAAGGAGGTTGTAAATTTGATATCTGCACTAGAGAAATCCTATAGGAAATGGAGCTATCTTCCTCGGTATAACTGTCAGCAAAATTTGGATGGAAGTCGAGCGGGTAATAGACTTCGGATTCAGGACGCTTATGTCCTAGAATGTGTAATCCTTCCTTGTCCTGTTTCTTATCACCCACTGAAGAAAGCCCTTGTACATAGACAATTCGAGAAAATATGAAGTTTCACACAAAGATTCGGAAATTGCAATTACAGAGACAGAGTAATAAATAAGTACCTACAAAACGTAAGTTGAGACTCATTGATACAAATTTTCATTGTAGAATGAGAGATGGAATACAAATACTATTAAGTATCATTTGACTACAAGATTTTTTTTTTCCAAAATTCTCATGAATTTAATCATTACAACGTTTTGGCTAACATAAGCGCAAAATTGATTTGAATCTCAGGATTGAATGTAAAGCAACACATACATACATACATACAAATATATACACACGCACACGCATGTATAAGTGATTGGGTTGGGTGGTTAGATAGAAGTGACAATAAATAGGAGATCTTGGATTGAAGACTTTCTACTTCTTTTCTTCCATCTTATTACCCAACCAACTGTCTCTCGAGACTGTGATATGCATTGCAAGTGATATTACCATACTCAAAATTTTGTTGCCACAAGAAACATAATAATGTTACGTCTTTCAAGACGATTTGTGATAGTATTTGATTTACTTAAAACAACAATAATTTTAGTTTTTTTTTTTAAAAAAAAAGAGCTGTGAAATTAAATTTTGAATTTTGACAATTAGTCCAGCAAAATTCCCTGTTCCACACCCACGGACGAGAAGACAATTTGTGACAGTATTTGATTTACTTAAAACAACAATAATAATTTTAGTGATAGAACGCAAATGAAAAATTGACAAGGCGTATGCGGAATATTAGAAGCGAGGGTATTTTTGGAAAACCAGCAACCTCCCATTCCCGCCAAAAATATAACCTGCATATAAAATTATAAATACAGAACGGCCCGCTAAACAGAATAACCAACCGCCTTTCCTTCCACCTCTGTCACACACTTGCACACCACAAAACACGCACATGCCAAGTCCCCCAACTTCACAGATGACCACCGGCCTCCTCCTCTTCCTCCTCCTCACCTCCGCCCTCCTTCTCACCTCCTCCGGCGCCACAACAACAAAACTGTCACCTTCACCTCCATCTTCGTCTCCACCTCCTCCGCATTCTAGAAAAGCAGCACGTTCTCCGCCACGATCACCTCCTGCACCACCACCACCAGCAGCTCCGGCGAACTGTACTGACGAACTGGTCTCCTTCTCAAAGTGCCTGCCGTACACTTCTTCATCTCCGAACAACACCTCCAATTCACCTTCTCGTCAGTGCTGCAATGACGTCATTTCCGCATTTACCACCGGCGGCGCCGTCTGCTTCTGCTATCTCATTCAAAAGCCTAACCTCCTCGGGTTCCCTCTCAACTCCACCAAAGTCCTCTCTCTTACCTCTCTTTGTCCGACGAGAGATCATGGAACCAAGACTAACTTCTCCCTTACTTCTCTATGTTCCGGTAAGCATTATCTCTTTTTTGTGTTTTTGGAATATTTCTGATAATTGTTGATAATGCTAATAATTTTCAATAAAAGTACTCCATAATAGTTTAGTAATTACAGTAATTAATTAATGCTAGTTTACCAATTTCCTGTAATTTTTGGATGGTTGAATTCTGCGTAGATACATTATTCTCAACTTCGGAGGAAAATGTCCATTATCAATAAAAGCATGCAACTGTAAACTAGAACAAGATTTGATAAGTCAATTCTTAAGTATGATTGGCTTAGATCTACATTTCCAGTAGTTAATAGAAGGTGGAGCACCTGTCTATCCAACGTACTAATGGTGACCGTTCATTTTCGTGCATGTTGTATAGTTTTCAATCCCATCAAATCTAAGTTATTGAAATTTAGTACTGGGGCTATCGTTAAATTATGTATTATTATTTACTTTGCTTTAACGCTAATGATGTTTTCCCCTTCTTGAACTGTTTTGATCAGGAACACGTACTCTGCCTCCTTTAAAGAGCATTACAAGTAAAATCCCCCTTCCCCTGCTCCTGTTTCTTTACGTTCTTTTTTTATATTGCGTCTATTAATTTGCTACTAAAAGCTTTGACTGTCACTTTTTTGCTGCAGGTCCCGATCACTCATCACCACGCTTATCTGGTAATTTGTGAAATGATTATACCCTATAAATCGACTCGATTTTTGCATTGCTTACTAGTGTATTAATTTGTGTCTATTCATTTGCTGGTAAAAACCGTTCCTTTTGCTATCTGTTTTCTTTACATTCTGCTCAGTTTTTTTTTTTTTTTGGTGCCTATTAATTTGCTACTTGAAACTTTTAACTGCCACTTTTTGATGCTGGTCCTGAAAACTCGCCGCCAAGCTTTTCTGGTAATTTGTGAAATGATGATACCTTATAGATCGACTCATCTTTGCATTGCTTTCTTTGTCTGCTTTATTGATTTTTGTACTTACAAAGAGTTTTAAAAACGCTTGTATTTAGTTCCATCAAAGCAAGCTTAGTACTTGTCTTGCTAGGAGTTTTCTTTCCAAAGACTAGAGTTCTATGCTCATATATGTTCTTTATACACCGTGCATAGGACCAATCAATCCGAAATTAGTTATGCATGATTGGTAAATCACGAAAGTAATCGGTTTCAATAGCAGTATAAGCCTAATGAAGAGAACTTAGGACTTCTATGGAGATACAAAAGAGACTTTGACATGATAGGCTGTGACGATAATTACTGCTTTACAAACAGACGCAGATGGCTATGGACCAGTCATTTCATAAGCAGAATCTGGGTTTCTTATTTGAAACTCAAAATATCAAAGAATATTAAATCAGCAGAGTCTACAAGAACATGAAATATTGCTTTTTCTCTGTATAAATTTGCAGGTCCTGTGAACCGTCCAACACCTCCTGCAATCAACTTCACACAAGGCTCAGAGGAGTCGACTGCTGATTCAGATAGTCCAGCACCTTCCTATTCAGACACTTCCGTACCTGCCGATTCAGACACTCCAGCCGCTCCTGATGGATCGCATCCAGAACCAAGGTTAGCACCACGTCTACCCTCATGGAGACCTTTTTCCACTAGTGGTACCAATAGCGAGTCTGGCTGGTTGCTCGCTCTCATCATGGTTGTTGCGGACGTTGTTGTTCCTACATTGACTTGATAGACGTAGCTCTCATCTTGATTAATATCTTGATTGTATAGAATAGTTCCACAAGGTGAGTATAGCAACAATTGCACAGCTAAGGTGAATTGTATGGCAGGCAAATTCTGACTTCTGTATGTTTGACAAACTTCGATTGATTTTCTGAGTATTAGCAACTTGAGAAAGCATGAATAAGGCGATCACCTGAAATGAAATCAATCTTTGCCTATATGGATTTCCAATGATGTTACACTTTAAACTTTCAATTGTTCTCTATGGTTTGGTGGGCCAATTTAATTCCAGAGTTTCCATTTAAAGTTGCAGCTACAGTTAATCTGCTAACCAATTTGATTAAACAAAAGGCAAATAAAAAACTCAGAGACGAATTTGAAAATGGAGGGGCATTTTCAGAGCAGGATACATGACTGTTGTACTTGCCATAACGCTTCTTATTTCATGTTACCCTTAGGAAAAGACCCCACTGGCTTAGATGCTATTGCTTTTATCGAGTGCTAGCAAATGTGTGCTTATCAAAATAAAGCAAAATGCTGCACAAAAATATTTCCCCAAGAAATTGTTGCTAATGCCTCCTAACATTTTGTTCTGTGCAAGGCATCTCCAAAATTTTGAAGTTTGATGAGCAGATTCAACAAAATTTTTCCAGTCAGAATATATTTGGCAAGTGTATCCAAAAATTCCAGAAACAACTACTACAAATTACATTCATCTTGGGTAGTTTTTTCTTCGAGACTTCAAGCCAAGCACATGTATAAAAAATAAAATAAAATTCAGAAGTCACTTAATCCATATTGTACCAGCTTGTGGTCATCTGCTATACATGCTCAACTCTTGTCAGGCATCCAGTTATTTCCAGCCATCAGACCATTCAGCTTCATCTGTTACAGGCTTTGGGATCTCTTCTGTATTGAAGTAATTGTGACCCCATTCCACCGCCCCAGACGGCTGTAAGTTGCCAGAGCAACCCACTTCCCCAGGTTGCTCCCCTTCCACATCCCCAGATGGTTGGACAATCTCACCCCATTCCACATCCCCAGACGGCTGGAAGGCACTGTATTCTCCATCATAATTCACTGGGACAGTTTGCTCTTTGACATCTTCCTCCTTGCCTGGTAAGAAGCAACCTTTGTAGGAATCGTTGTCTGAGCAGTACCATAAAAGCTTGTTCCAATGACCATCCTGTCAATACCTCAAACATGTGAATACATAAACCCAGGGAAAACTGCCTTGGCAAAACTGAAATGATCATTCATCACCTAAGACTCCTCGAGTGTGTACATAGTTCAAGGGGACATTTGCTTTGGGTATTCATACATGAACCTTTGGGTGGTTGGAAGCAGGCAGACTAACCATTTGTACAATAGGCAAACAGAAGGAAAACAAGCAAACCAGGAAAGTGGTAATGCACATTACTTTTAACAGCATACTTCTTGTGCTTATCTGAAATCAGAATGATATACAAATTAAAAATGCTTAAAGAGTACCTTGCAAAGGATATGTGGATTCCCAACCAATATAAGCAAAGATCTTGCTCGGGTAATAGCCACATTGAACCTTCTAGGACTGCTTAAAAATCCCAGATAGTGGATCTTGTCAAACTCATTGTGTTTAATTGTGGATCGGACAGTAGACACAATGATCACTTGCCTCTCTTGCCCTTGGAATTGTTCAACACTACCAATCTTGATTTTGGTTTTATTAAAGCTTTCAAGTGCGTTTCTTATTTTGAGAACTTGCTGCCTGTAAGGAGTTATAACCCCGATGTCTTCCTCATGAAGCCCTTTATCATCAATCAAATGAATAATGATATCAACTACCTTGCTGGCCTCAATTCTGTTAAACCATGACGGATTACTCCCTTCCCTCTCATCACAACCCTGGATACCAAAGAAAAGCAAAGGGAAGTTCTGGTCAGGTAGTAGGTCCAATAATGGCAGTATAAAGTTTCCATCATTTTCTTTGCATGAGATCAAATCGCCCCCTTAAAACAAGGTTGATGGAAGGTACAGAATTTTTGGATGAGACCGATAGTTTCGAACCAATTTGGTAATATAGCTTCTATTCCCATCATTATATAACTGACATTCGAACAGCCTTTCCAAGTATGATCTTCCCAATCCATAACTCTCAGCAATTTTCGAGTAGATTACAGGACCAAGCTGCTTTGGGTCCCCGGCAAGTACAACTACTGTTTTCTTTTGATAAAGGTGGGCAACAGGAACCATCGTCTCAGGTTCTGAAGCTTGGCCTGCTTCATCTAAAAAAATGTGAGAGAAGTGGCCTCGCTTGATGCCTTCTGCATATAGGAGTGACGCACTTGTATATGTTGATACAATAATCCTATATTGCCTGAGCCTACTCAATATGGGACACCTGAAAACAGCATCTTCAATACAGCAAAAGTCTTTGTAGTTTTGATCAACATCCTCTATAAGACGTGTAGTTGCATTCAGCCTGAAGATATCATTTTTCAGAATTTGGACTGCCTCCTCAGTTATAAGTTTCTCAAGAATATAGTCCGCAGCACTGTTTGAAGGTGCACAGACTAGAATTCGAGTATGTTTGCGCTTAGCATAAAGTTGGAGGATGGCTTCTATTAGAGTCATTGTTTTACCAGTACCTGGAGGTCCATGAATTACGTAAGGAGACCCTCCCCTGCAGCCAAGGATCATCTCAATGGTGCTACTTTGCTCTGGATTAAGCATACAGGATATAGGCACCAGTGAAGTTGGTTGAATTAGTCTTGCTTGATGGGATACAGACGGGAAGAGAAGTTCCATCTCCAAAGTTTCTGCAGCTTTGATGGCTTGATATAACATTCTCACACGAGTGCGGTTGTACGTGAACTGCACATCATAAAGATTTCCAGGCCTATGATCTGAGTGGAAATCATCCCGAAACCTCAGATAAACCTCTTCAGCCTCAACACGGTAAATATAACCCTGTTCAAATAACCATTCAAAGTTTGAGCTATCTGGATGCAAGTTCGGAGCATTTAATCAAACACAGAAAGTACCAGATGTTGCATGTGTTCACATATTGGAGACTGAGAAGCCACCACTATCTGCGGTGTCACAAACATAACAAATTTTTTAACGCCAATCAACACACTCTATGTCTCTAAGTGATAACTCTAATCAAGACAGGCTATGAGAATTTTCAAGTAGTTGCTAAATTTACAAAATCTCCAACACATATTTGTCTCTGGTCTGAAGGCAATTTAAATGAGCTGGATCATCTCCAAAAATTCTTAATAATTTTTGAGCATTAAATCCTAGGTACCGCAATATCCTTTAAAAAATACTTGAAAATATAATCGTCAAGTAAATCCAGCATAGTAAATAATCATGTGAAAATTCAGCATACTTGATAAGGGGGGGTATTGGTTGCATGAACTGAGGAAGGTCTAGCAAATACACAGTCTCCATAAACAAGCGAAGGCCTTCTCTCTGCTAGTCCTGGGACACTGAGGCATAAAAATTGGAATCCCTTACTTGTCATAGTAACACTCTCCATGTCAAAGTCCCTCATGTCCTCCTGAAGAAAATAAAGAAAATGCATCAACACCAACCACATGAACAATTTATTAGCGTTTGTTGAAGAAAAAAAAACAATTTATTAGCATAAAATATTTGGATTCAGACCTCCATTTTGATCTCTTCTAGGGCTAGCAAGGTCTGAAAGTATGCAAAATAATTCTCTTTTGTCAGACCATCTCCTAGAGCATCAGGGATTTGCTGCTGCTCAATCGAGTTCCTAATGTGCTGTGGAACTGGATATGCGTGGAGCCTGTATCTGAACCCTCGGTTTGGAGACCTTATAGGACGCGAGCCCCCAATAAATGGTTCAGCAGAAAACACTTTGGTGACTGAGTGCTTTTTCTTCCTGATTCTGTTAAATGGCCTGCTAGAAGCCAAAAATTGGGATACCTTATCTTCAGCCATGACAAAAACAAGTCGCTCAATTGTGTCATCCCCAACACTGAAGTGCACAGCTGATGTGTGCAAGCCAATACCTTTAGGCTTGCAAGACAACCAAATTGTTAGGGTCTGACCTGGCTGTAATACTCTGTCTTCCAAGGAGAATGACTCCAGAAATTCTTGGACATATTGTGCATCTGACGTTGCAGCTGGAGGTTTCATTAACGAAATAGTAAATGAGTCCTCAGGTTTTGAATCATAAATCTTCACCGACCAGAGATCAACAGGGGCACTAGTTTTGTTTTCAATTGTGATCGAATCAACAATAGTCTCTCCTACCAATCCTGATTGAGGCTTCCCTTCGACTAATGGGAATGGAACAGAAATAGTAACTTGATCACTTTCTTCAGCAGGGTTATAGCTACAAACAGATTTACAGTTGTCCAAGTCGATAAAACCGATGTCTCCTTTGTCCCAAATTACAGAATACTCATCATCTGATTTATGACCGACTGAATCCATTAATACCTTGATGTGTATGCCAAGAAAATCTGCAAATTCTGAACAAAATCGCACATTGATGTAATTTCTCATTTTGATGAAGATAAATCATTCCATAAAGCTTTTCTAAATTGCAAGAGAGAAAATGTTCAAGTAGGATGGCCATATGCTCATAGCTGAAATGTGGCGATTTGCTAGTTGAAACAGTGTTTTGAAGGCAGAGGCACTGTGTCTGTCTGAGGCATATTCCATGAGGCACAGTGACGTTAAAGGCACAGACATGGATGTAGGTCCCACGACACTGTAAAATTTTTTGTTTTATTTAACAGTGAAGAAAAATTGGCATGCTAAGAAACATTATAAGAAAGAATTATAGATCTAAGATGCAATATAGGCAAAGAACTGTATGATGAAGCATAAAAGGAACATAAAATTTTCTTCACCTTAGATGGAACTAAGAAAAGATAAACTAACAAAAAGTAAATTAAATATCGGTGAGACCTTAAAAGTCAAACAGAAAGTAAGGCTTTGGTTGTGAAAAGCTTCCCATTTCAAACCTCATCTCTGTATCCCACCAATATGCTATGTGGCACATTAACCCCCTTTCAACCACTCGGCCTCATCTCTCTCTCAACAGCAACACTCTTCCCTACTCACCTCCACGCCACACCACACCTCTTCACCCTGCTGGACTCAAGGAAACTAGTAACATTAAATTAGAATGAAATCAGATTAGTTAATTCAGCAGTTATAGAAGATGAGCATGTCTTTTGATTTTCCTTTATTGTGTATATTTCATCTGCTCCTCCCTGACAAGCCCCCTTCTCTTTGGTTTCTCATTCTGTTCCAGGTGTTTGGGGCATAAGCAGAGGTGTGCCTCACAGTTCAAGGCAATCTCATGCCTATCACCCAGAGACATCTGCACTGTTTGCCTATCCCAAACACTTCAAGGTACTTGTGACTTGCTGCACCTCAGGAATAGGCCTTTTAAAATAATAGTTGATACCAAATTCATGGCACCAAAAAATTTA